TGCGTCAGTGGAGCGGATGAGTCAGTGCGAGAGAAACGCCAGCAAATTGGTGGTGCAATTGCTTTCGTTGATAAAACGAAGAATTTCACCCCTCCCTATCCGCACTACCCCTTTGGGCTAAACAAATCCCCCGGGGTTTGTGTTTAAACACATCCATCTCCGTCTGTCACTTGTGTGTCCTCTGAATGTTGGCCTAAATCGATTACCGGTCCTTCGGTGCGGGCTCCTGTAATTAATTACGCGTCTGTAATCAGGTTATAGAGGTTATAATCCGGTGCTAAGTCTGTTTCATAAACGCTGCCATTTCACAAGATTTGTGGTGTTGGTCGGAGGAGGCAGAATTATTGTAAGCTCATTTATTAAAAGTGTGTTTGTTTGGGTTTTTTTGTTTTTTTTTTGACTGCTTCTCTCAGGAGGATTCGAGAATTTCCACTCTCAATACCCTGAACTTTGCACTGAGGTGAAAACCATTGACCAGAGCGGAAGTGAAACCGAGAAAAGAGTCAGCAACCACAGCGAGAAGCTTTCACACCACAAACCAGATTATGATCAGGTATGGAAACACCCTTTAGCGTACAATGCAGTACTTCCCACCATCTCTCCTACACGACCACAGGGCACAAAGCCACTGCCAGTTTTTTTTTAAAACTTAATCTAAAAAGATACATACACACAGGCACGCTCAAGCATGCTGACATCAGAGAATTTTATTTCTGGCACATCAAAACATTTTCTCAACTTACATATGATATTATATGACCTTCGCTGCTCCCCGGTCTTTTTATAAAGACAGCATGATGCCCAGCTGATATCAGGACACCCCATAGAAAAGACAGCCTTTCATCCCTGACCTTTCTGCTATTATTTCCACTGGCCAAATAGAAAACATGTGGCTAGTTTAGATTTCAAAGAACACTGTTGTGTCTGGTTGATCCATTATGGGCTCTTTCAATACCGGGGAATTCCTCTAGCATCCTGCGTCCATTTTGTCTGCAAGTGAATGTAATGATCGGCTGGCAGGTGTTTGGATGTTCCTGCTTGGACAATGGTTGAGTCATAGCAGATGGATAAATGCTGGCGATCGAAGCTGTGTGTCGTGAGCTTGACTCATGTCTCCGCTTTCTCCCTCTTTTCCTTCCTCAGGGTAAACCAGTAGAGATCCTGCCTTTCCTCTACCTCGGTAGTGCCTACCATGCCTCCAGACAGGATTATCTCAGCGACCTTCACATCACAGCCTTGCTCAACGTGTCACGCAGAGACCTGCAGCCGGCCAAGGGCCACTATGACTACAAGTGGATCCCTGTGGAGGACAGCCACATGGCCGACATCAGCTCCCACTTCCAGGAGGCAATAGAGTTTATAGGTGAGTTGAGGAGAGTAAATGCATTTAACTGTTGATTTCTGCTTCACAGGGTTTGCCTTGAGATGTTTTGCTATCTTAGAATACAGCTGACGCACTAATGCTCAAACCAGCTAGGAAAGGGAATAAATAGACCAACATTAGATGGATGCTTTTCCGGCCACAAGATCAGCGTCGGTCTATATGTATTTATAATCCAGCTTCACCCCAAGGAGTCTCAAAAATACCCATGCTGAGTGAGCGAGATATCTATACATGGATGCATTTATTTTTGAAATGCGTCTTTGTCTTCAAATAGCCTTCCTTTATCAGTGCCGCTCACCTGCTGCCATTCACAAATAGAGGGCTATAAGAAACCCGGCTGTAATCAGTTTAAGTTAATCGCCAGCCTTCAATCCCCCACCAACATATACTGCCTGTCTGCTTTCATTCAGGATTTGCTCACTTCCCCCGTTCCCTTCCGACCTCCCTCCCTTCTTTCCTTGAAAAAGACAATCCCATGCTGGCCAAATCACATGGTGCCGGGTGTGGCCAGTCAGTGTGACAACTGGGTGAGCTGTACGTGTTTAGTAATGACCGGGTGTAGGAGGCCGGGGGCTGGCTGGCACACACACATACGTGCATGCATGCACAACAGCATTGTTTATGATGGTTGGGTGGAGGATTAATGACAGCTACACAATGAGGGAGGACATCAGTTTTTTTTGTTAGCAAGAGGGACTCATTGGCAGACCTGTGGCCAGCAGGGCAGCAAATGTGTTACAGAGGAAAAGAGAGTGCGTGGGAGGGAGAGAGGTGTCGGATAATAGCAGCAACAGCAAAAGATGTACAAAATGTGCTGGCGGCTATTTATATCCAGGCATAACCAAGGACAAAGCTTACCCACAAGCAGCTTGGCTGACCTGTATTAGCTGGATAGTATTGTGCATTGTTTGGGGATGCAGCCTACATTTAGGGTGTGTTTGAATATCTTGTCCATTACATAAGGCAGTTTTAGCCTACATTCAAAGAGGGCCTCAACATTTCATCAGGCACGCCAACTGATTAGACACGGAGTACAAACAGATCCTCTGGGCTGCTGGTCTCATAAAATCAATCAATAAATTGGAAACCCTTCCGACCAAGCGGGTGATGTAAACCGGAGAGGAAAAAATAAATATTATTGACCTCGTGGATGAAAACAGCTGTTGAAGCATGCCATGACATCGCCAGCCAAAGGACAGTAATTAAAACACCCACTGCTGCTGCTGCCCCGCTCTCATAGCACCCTCCTCTCCAGATGAAGGTTCATTATTCATTCATGTGGTTTTATCGAGAATCAGAGCGGTCAGAAATCAGTCATTCTCCTTCATAAACGCACAGAAGTGGCCCTTAATGTTTCTGCTTAGTGGACGAGGTGATGTGTAGGTGTCGTTACCGGCTCGTGGAACTAAGTGTCAATATGACTTAGATGCGAGACAGAAAAGAAGACATGTGGGTGTTTGCTTCTAAGAATTCTTGAAACGTGTTGCGAAGGACATTTAGACAGATGTGTGAAAGTGAACTCGTGTGTAGGCCTTAAAACATACTGACGAGTGTGTAGGAGCGAGGCGGCTCCAAATTAGAATACACTTCTCTGTGCCACAGCGAACACCACAGCAGCACCCAGCACCCCCACAGTGGTGCAGCAGAAAACAAATCACATGTACAGCTGCACTCTGTGACTAAGTCAAGCCTCCCACGTGCCTCTGTGTGTGCCACTTACAGTAGCAAATGACGTGTGCTCATTTCTTTCTACAAAATAAATGTGGCAAACTAGATGTTCATGAGAAAGAAAGAGAGATACAATATTTGGGGAAAAGTGTTCCTATAATATAGTGAGAGCGATCGACTAGACAATAATAGCCCAGTTAAATTTATTTCCTGTTCCAAACTCCTGATTTGAAATCAGTTTGATGCGTGGTTTTCTTATGCTGTGACAATTTTGCTGATGATTAAAGAAAGAGAAATATGTCACTGTCTCACCAGATTCCTCCCTTTTTCTTCCAGATCATGTGAAGCAATCGGGGGGGAAGGTCCTGGTACACTGCGAAGCAGGCATCTCTCGCTCACCTACCATCTGCATGGCCTACATCATGAGGACCCAGCAGCTGCGGCTTGATGCAGCCTTCGACATCATCAAGCAGCGCCGGGCAGTCATCTCACCAAACTTCAGTTTCATGGGTCAGCTGCTTCAGTTTGAGTCCGAGGTGCTGTCCAATGCACCGGTTCATGCTGCCACACCTGAACCGGCCACGCCCTGTGTCTCGGAGTCCGCTTCCTTTTTTGCCAATGACTTTGCCACTACCTTCAACACCAAAAACTTTGAGCCGTCTGTGTTCACCCTCCCTACCTCTTGCCTGCAGTCCCCAGTCCACCACCAGTTCAAACTGAGCCCAATAACTGCACTGCCTTAAAATAAACTGTGACTGCTTGTAGTCTTACTTGAAAATATAAAAATCAACGCTCCCTCTGTGTGCCTCCGGCAGAGCAGATAGACTGGAGATCAGCCACAGACACAAAGAAGAGTCAAAGACAACTGTATTCATAATAGGACTTGAAGCCTATGAAATCCATGGGCTACAGACACTGATGCTTTTTTCCTGTCTTCTGAACTGCAGCGATGAAACAACACAGCACAGTGATAAACTGCAATATACATGCCTTAGGTTGATATTGTGATTCATTTGCCTACTCACAAACATGGTCAGGCATTTAAACCTAATTTATTTGAAAATGATGGTCCGTTTTTTCAATAATGTGGATACAAATATGTGTTTAATAAATGTTTTCACTGCAAAAAACATTGTTGCCGTGTAATATTTTATTGTGCATGTGGCAAATGCCCTTTTTCATTCAAGCCAACATAAACCTGTTCATAAAAACAAGACAAAGGAATGACCAATATTTATGGGTTTAGATAATAAATCCTGTCTAGACAGGCATAAATGCAGCAGTAGAGGCAATAGTGACACCTACAGTGGCTTAGAGCTGGCCCTTGTGACTAGAGGTATATTTAGATCAGAAGCCTTGCATGTATTTCTTACCTATAGTCGCCTTCCTCACAGCCGTATTTTTTATGCATAATCTATGAAAGCGATGAAACATGTCGCTTTCATAGAAAACTTAAACCAATTTTAATCAGAATTTTGAGACATCAACTACTAGAAAATAATTACAGTCAAAATTCCTGTTAGAAAACTGGCTGCACTGTGTTATTTAAAGACACTATAAATAATAATAATGATCATCATTAATACAATAATGTTGATCATTATTAGCACAGTCATTATGATTTTTATTTATTTATTTATTTATTTTTACCGCTTTTAGTCTATAGTCTATTTCCCACTGCTGCTCATCAAAACAATTTTGGCGCCCAGAGCGCAGACTGCTAGACTGTACCAACTAAACAAAAAGAGAGGCGAATAAACAGCAATAATAAAAGACCTAATGTTATGTCACAAACGTAACCTAACCGTAGATACACATTATATTATTGTTATATTTGAATTTTTACCTTTCATATGAACTATTTAGCTTCCCCTCATGTAGGAATATAGTGCAAGTATATCCCTACAACCCAGTTTCACAAAATGGTATCATCCATTCTATCCCGCCCCCGCCGCCATTTTCCATGTTATTCTTTCCTGCCTTACAGTATTTTATGATTTTTAATGCAACAGTTTGATTGTTAAGTTTGGATTATTATAGTTGTGGTTTCTCCAGCTTGGCGCAGGGAGTGTTTTATCTCCAAATTTGCAGAGGGGACGCCCTGGATAAGCAGCCATGTATATTAAACAGGTAAGCTAACGAGACCAGACTGATGCGTGTTGCCGACTGTTACTGGTCTAATAACAAGATTTAGGCCAGCTTAACGTTTTTCCACTGAATGATAAATGTATAGCTATCGAGGCTTCACTCAAAGTATAACGTTGATTGGATTGCAAAACTGTGCACAGGCACTCCATAAACGGCAAACGTTGTGTAGCTATCTAGCTAACGTTAGCTAGCGCTATTTGAATTAGTGTAGAAGTGAATTGCCTGTCCCCTCTCGAGATGCTAAGCTAACGCAACTAGGCCAGGCTTAGGTTTTCGGATTGATATGCTTCTTTTCATTGTTGTTATAACGTTTAATGTTGCATATGATGCAGAATACGAGAGTTTATTGTATAGTTGTCGGCTAACTCGGCATTGTTGATTTCAAACCTTCAAAAATGTCCTGAATGAAAGTAGCGGTAGACCATCTGAGTGCCCATCAGCCAAGGCCCTGTTGCCTCGTTTTACCTGTGATGGTGCTATTCAGCATAAACAGTTTACACACCTTATGTTTACAAATATTCATAGACCCAGGAGCTCTTTGACCATGTTTAACTGTAGCATGTGGTTAAAATATTGCACTGAAACAGCTGATGTTGTAGTCGGTGTGTTCACGGTGGTCTCTGGTTCCCTGTGCAGGTGATCATTCAGGGGTTCCGAAGTTACAGGGACCAAACTGTGGTAGACCCTTTTAGCCCGAAGCACAATGTCATCGGTATGTGTTCATCCACATCTTTCCATAATTATTTTGTATTGCACCTGAGTTGCTAATCAGGTTTTTCGGATACTTTATGTCCTGTCTGTCACCATATCCTCATTTTGTGTTTATTTTTCCCTTCGTCTTACAGTTGGGAGGAATGGATCAGGAAAAAGTAACTTTTTCTATGGTATGAAGCCTCAAAACTTGCTGCAATATAGAATTCAAACATTTAGACTTCTAAGACTTTAACTCCCGTTCTCTCTTTTTTTTTTTAGCCATCCAGTTTGTGCTCAGTGATGAATTCAGCCACCTGCGACCTGAACAACGCTTGGCCCTGCTCCATGTAAGTACAGGAAAATGTACTGGGAACATGAGCCTTTAGTGGGAAGCTATGAATACAAGTATGCTTGCTAAATAACAGATTACTCTCAGTCAAAATCTTTGCATTTTCCTACCTGTGCCAATTGGCAAAAAAAAAATTTTTTTGTGGGTTTGTTTTTTTAATTAACTTTTATCACAGTGTGAGTGATTTTGCTTTAGCTTTGACTAAAACCTCTTTGGTAGATGCCAAAACTTCGTTGTGTAAAAATCTCTCTCTCCCTGTCACTGTAGGAGGGAACTGGTCCACGTGTCATTTCGGCTTTTGTGGAGATTATATTTGACAACTCTGACAACCGACTGCCGGTAGGAATGGCAAACATTTCAAATTTATTCTATTACTGTATTTTCTGCTTGATTCCATTGTGATATTATTTAAAAATTTCCATAGGCCTCTCAAGGAATGTGTGTGTATGTGTTAAATAAATGGTCACTGAGCAGCTTGTGGCTAAACGTGTATGATCATATAGCCTCTTTTCAGTGCTGATATTTGTTTCACAGTTAAATTTGCATTATTGTTTACATTGGTTTGTATCAAAGTAAACCTCAAAATAAAAAAAGGAAAACACAATAAACTAAAATCCAAAAAACCAGCAACATCAACCCTTTTATGCTTTCTTTTGTAACAAGACTTAATCTTGGGTATTAAAATGGTGAACATGTTTAGTCCAATTTAAGTTGTTCATTTCATATTGAATATTGAAGTCTCTCCTGGTGATGACTGTTATGAAGACCACTGATTGCACTGTGTTGCCTTCAGTACACACAGTCCTTTTTATTCTGATGATGAAGGCCGGATGTCTGTGAAATGTTGCAGCCTGGTGATACTGTGGCATAAGCTGCCAATTATCGTCCCCTGTGTGACCCTCAGCTTGCCCAGTGATAAATGCATCTCTTTCTAGATTGACAAAGAGGAAGTCTCCCTTCGTCGTGTCATTGGAGCAAAGAAGGACCAGTACTTTTTAGACAAGAAGATGGTGACGTAAGTATTGCGAGGGATCAGCTGTCCATGTTAAATTTGCCAAAGGACATTACTACATGTGTGATTCCATCTATTCTATGCACTCTTCTTGTTGCAGTAAGAATGATGTCATGAACCTTTTGGAGAGTGCTGGCTTCTCTCGGAGTAACCCCTACTACATTGTCAAGCAGGGAAAGGTGAGAGACGAGTGCAGTGCCAAGCCATATTTAATGCGCAGTAGTTTTTGGTGATGTGAAATGAATTTCATTCTTCAAGCAGTGGTCATTGGGTGGGTGTTTCTAGTTGAACAGACAGTAAAACAGTGTTGTCCTCACTATTTATTTACCTTAGTCTGTTTTGCAGAAAACTAAGAGTATTAGTAGACTAAATAATTGATGTTAATTTAAAAAAAATTATAATCATTAATTAATTCTAATCATTATCATTTGTTTTCTGATAGGAATATCTCAGAGGTACACCAGATATTTGGAAAATTTACCTTATGTTACTGTTTTATGTAGATCAACCAAATGGCCACAGCACCTGACTCACAGCGTCTAAAGCTGCTGAGAGAGGTGGCAGGGACGCGAGTGTATGATGAACGCAAAGAGGAGAGCATTTCCCTAATGAAGGAGACAGGTAAACACTTTTGAATACCTTTCATTTTGTACAACTGTTGATTGGTAGATTTTAATTCATTAATGTTTTTAATTGTCTGTGAACAGTTTTGTTATTACATGACATCAGCTAGATTGTTTTGAAAAGGCTTTATAATGTATATCTATATGTACCATGTTTCATTAGCCTTAGGCAGGATTTGTAATTTGTGTCACATGTGCTGTCGCCTTACAGCAAGAATGTTCCTGGTTCAAATCCATTCCAGGGCTTTCCTTCCTGCAGCATTTTAGTTTCATTGTTTGTGTGGTCGTCAAAGAACTTAAATGTATAGAAAAACGTACTCCATTTCCACTGTCTTATAGCAGTACTGTCGGATTTCCATCACAGTCACAGTTGTGCATGACTATAACACGTGGCAATTAATTGTTTCTATAACAGAAGTACTGCTAAATTTTGTATACCTTTGGTGAAGGAGTTACAAAGAGAAAAACCTGAAAACAATCCACTGTGTGTTTTCCTCAGAGGGGAAGCGAGAGAAGATCAATGAACTGCTGAAATACATCGAGGAGCGTCTGCACACCTTGGAAGATGAAAAGGAAGAACTGGCTCAGTACCAGAAGTGGGACAAAATGAGAAGAGCTTTGGAATACACAATCTACAACCAGGAGCTGAATGAAACCCGTGCCAAGCTGGATGAGGTAATAAAGTTGTGAAAAACGTTGAAGTACACATGCAGAAAAAAACACAAAACATAGACTTCTCTGTATTTTGCTGCAGGCGTAAGAATGTAACGCAACCCATGTTGCAACACAGTTGCATTATTTATGCAGTATAACACGAATTCTATTGTCCTAGACATCATTATAAACTTAATTAAATTGTATTTATTAAATGTGAACAAATGCCAGTATCAAGTAGACTTTACTGCCTCATTAACAAGACTTTTGTACTTTGTTTGGCTCTTTTAATAGTTGTCCACCAAGAGAGAAACCTGTGGAGACAAGTCCAGACAACTGCGTGATGCTCAGCAAGATGCCAGAGACAAAGTGGAGGTAAAAAAAACAAACAAACAAAACAAACAACCATTGCTTGGCTTCAGTGAAATCTCATCACAGAATTATATTTAAGATGGTGTTACAGTACTTTGTAAATGACCTTGAATGATGTGTTTGTGCTCTGGTAATTGATCTACTTTGACATTTTTTTGTAAGATTGAAATAAACAACTACAGTTTTAGTAACAAAGTCATTTGTTAATATTGTCAGGGTTTGATTTTGTTCAGTGCAACATTTTTTTGTTCCTAAAGGTACCATAACCACAAAAAAAATGGAATTAAATTTTATTTTTGTGTGTTATCTTCACATCTAATGTTTGTTGACCTCTTTTTTTTTCTCTAATATATCATTGCTTATCTAAATATATCACACATTTCTAGATGGTTAATGTCATCGGCTCATCTTTGTGACCTTGTTAAATAAATGACGCATCATTTAGTCGCTGTAAAGGAAGTAGGTTGTTGTGGGGGGTTTTTTTTGTTGTTGTTGTTACTTTGTTTTGTTTTCCCCTCATACAATGATTCTTTATTTTGGCTCTCTTTGTGTAGGAAACGGAGCGTGTTGTGCGAGAGCTGAAGTCTAAGATCTCTGCCATGAAGGAGGAGAGAGAGCAGCTGTCGGCAGAGCGCCAGGAGCAGATCAAGCAGAGGACCAAACTCGAGTTGAAGGCCAAGGACCTGCAGGACGAGCTGGCAGGCAACAGCGAACAGAGGGTACGGAAGCCTCCCATCTGCGTCACTCTAAACACGCGATGATGCACCAACCACACTCCCCCTGCCTCTTTCCCTTTACCATCTCTGTATAAAGAAAAGGCTGGCAGTTTTTTCTCTTTTAATCCACTCCACTCACCCCTGTTATAGCCGGAAATGTGGGTACTCTCCAGCCCCTCTGGTGTTGGCCAGAGGGGGCCAATGGTGCGATATGGCAGCCTCGCTTCTGTCAGTCTGCTCCAGGGCAGCTGTGGCTACAACTGTAGCTTGCCTCCACCAGTGTGTGAATGTGAGAGTGAATGAATAGTGGAATTGTAAAGCGCTTTGAGGGTCTCGAAAAGAATGCAATCCATTATTATTATTGTTATTATTACTTGTCCAACGTTGCTTTACTTTTCAAGAATTTTGGTAAGGGTGTCTGTCAATTTTTCAGTCTGTTTATAAAACCAGAAATCCCCAAATCATGACTTCCATTTTGACAAATGGAAAAAAAATAGCCTTATTTTATTTAGTATGGTGGGATATTACTCCGAGAATGTCCAAAAGAAAACAGCATAAAACTTAATCAGTAAACCAAGGGTACTGATCCAAATATTCAAGTGCTTCATTCTTACAAACTAATAATATGTGGTTTTGGTTAAGGTGTTTTAAAGGTGTTTATTTCATTTAATGGATGCAGCTGTTACTTGTCAGTTTAATATAACTATCTTTTAATGTATGTAATCATGCATCCAGTATCTGTATAATATCTAATATCATGAGTAATATTAAAACAGGTCAACCAGTGCAAAAAAATGTGCAGTTGGCTTGTGGGATGGGATGAGAAGCAAAACAGAGTAAGCACCAGGTTGCGTATCAGACTTTGCTTACAGCTCCACTATACATCATCCCTGGCATGAGGTTTCGTGTACAGAATTGGCATGCATCACTCTCCATATGGCCTAGTGTTTGTGTGCACATGTGAGTATGAAGACGATAATTATACATAACAGCTCTATTGGCTCAGTATTTATGGTTCATGGTGGGTCCCAGGCAGCATGCTGGCTAGTGGTTGGATTAAGCCCACCTGGCTGCGGCTGGCACAACACCAGCCAAAAGTTATTGGAGCAAAATGAAAAGCCTCTCTAGCTACAGGGGATCCTGGTTTGATCAGCTTTGAGGTGGCTGATCAAACCACGGGGGGAAAAAAGTGAGCACAGCCATCTCACAAAGGAATTTGTCCAAATCACTTGTCAGTTAGATTTTCTATTGATACTAGCACATTTTGGTTTACTGAATATTAATGCTCTTTTTATAGGATTCTCTTCCAGTAGATACCTTTTATATAAATCTGTTGTAAATGTGTTAGGGCTGTCGGTCTATTAAAATATTTAATTGCGATCAATAGCGTGATTGTCCATAGTTAACTCTCAGTTAATCGCAGATTTTTAAAAATGTAGATATATATTTTATTACATTATCAGTGGTGTTTTTGGCCAGGAAGCGGTATTTAAGACTTCACGTACTACGGTCTAAGGATTCACATCGATTGTAAATACAAATAACTTTGTTCTTCTCAAGGGAACCATCTGGCAGAGCATTAAAGCTAAACTTGTTATTCAAACGACCCTTTTCTTCATCCATTTCTGCATATCATTCACAATGTTCTGATGCTTCACTTCCAGACACCCCAATCTAAGGATGGTGGGCCACAGGTCACAGCCCAAGCATGCATGTGTTAATCGCGCATCAAACGAAAATAGAGGTGTTAAAAGGAATAAGCATTAATGCGCTATTATCCTGTTAACTTTGACAGCCCTAAAAATATAAGTATACATTTTTCATAATTGTCATGAGGCTTATTTATGCTTCAAAACTTTTCCTCACATGTAACTCTTAACCTTTCATTTGTCGGATTTGTTGGATTAATAGTCTGCTCTTGATCTTCCAGAAACGCTTGTTGAAGGAGCGTCAGAAGCTCCTGGAGAAAATTGAGGAGAAACAAAAAGAGCTGCAGGAGACTGAACCCAAGTTCAACATGGTCAAGGAAAAGGAGGAGCGGGGCATCTCCAGGTAGGGATGACTCATTCTCAGCTATCGTTCCCCGAGCAGGCAGTGACCGGGCGTGATTCAAGGAGTCAGTCAACCCGAGTTAAATATAATTTGATAGTGAGAGATTAAAGGTGTCTTCACATGAGATATTTGCGAATTCTGTTATAAAATTATTTTATTGCATGTGTTATACAAACATTTGAATACAGGAAGGAAGGAGAGCCAAAGAAAACTATTGGTTCAGTTTATAAATCTATGATCCCCCTTTGTTGTCTTGCAGATTAGCTCAAGCTACACAAGAGAGGACAGACTTGTATGCTAAGCAGGGTCGTGGCAGTCAGTTCACCTCTAAGGAAGAAAGGGACAAGTGGATCAAAAAGGAGTTGAAGTCTCTGGACCAGGCTATCAATGACAAAAAGAGGCAGATTGCTGCCATCCACAAAGACCTGGAGGACACAGAAGCAAACAAGGAGAAGAACCTCGAGCAGTACAACGTAAGATAATTCAAAATGTTTCAGACCTGCTTCTCCTGCTTTTCCATGAAAAAGAATTGCACACTGAGTTTTGCTTTCCTGTCTTTTGTTGCTCTAGTTGAAATAACTAGCTATTCTTTGTTTACTGACACTGTTTTTGCTGGAACATTTTAACCTATACTTCTTTGTCCCTTTTATTTTGGTATTTTGCAGTCTTGTGCATGTAGCTTGAAGAAAGGGTGAAAAAATTTTTTCCAAGGGATGCACTGGTGGGAAATTCTGAAAGGGAGAAACAAATCTTTATTATCAAGTTAACATTTTGAGACTAAGCTTTTCATTACATGACTTGTGAACATTTGGTGCAAAATCCACAACAACAAAAAAGTGAAAAAACAGTCAACAAGGCATAGACTTTCATTTGGCTCCTTAATTTTACACCGATTTAAAATAAATAATTTTGCATTTATTTATTTCAGATTAGTGGTGTGATATATGTGGTTTAGAAAAAGATTTCTGCTGTTTTGATCTGACATCCTGGCAGGTTAGTGTGTCTCACTTCAAACTTGTATCTTTAGAAACTCGATCAAGATCTGAATGAGGTCAAGACCCGTGTGGAGGAGCTGGACAAAAAGTATTATGAAGTGAAGAACAAGAAAGATGAACTGCAGAGCGAAAGAAAGTAAGGACCTCATCTTTGTTTTTAATCTTCTCTTTGACCTCACATCTTTAAGATGTAAATGTATAAAATTCAGTCATATTTTAAACTTTTTTGTGTGCAGTTTTGATTAGTTTGACATCTCATGATAAAATGAAGCTTTACATAAGTCAGACCTGCATGTTGAATTGAGTTGAAAGGTTGTTGTTTAGCCTTTCTTTTAGCCAGTATGCTGTTTCCGCTTGGCAACCTTTAGATAGATGCCAGTGTATTGTCTCCTGTGAATGTCACCAGGCCTTCTCAGTCCACTTAAACAATGAGGTGTGTTTATGTAACACAGAGGATGATACCTCAGGCTTCTGCTGCCACAGTTTCCTTGCCTTTAAAAGGTCCTTCAGGGTGGTTGAATTGTGTCATCAGGCTTTTTAGGGAAAACGCGGAATATTGTTCCATGTTTCTTGAAGCACGACAAAGGAAGCATTCACATTCAGGCCTCTCCAGCTATTATTAGGAATGACACTCAAAACGCATAATTTGCCTTAAGCATAAAAAGAGGTTGGGATCTTTCTTTTTTTTAAACTGAATTCTATTAAATTCAGCGCGACCCTTATTACTGTCAGCATGTAAAACAGATTCCACGAATAGTTTGTGTATGTCAGATTTTTAATTATGCACCCATCACTGTGATCCACTGCGCAGTCTGTCGGGTGAGAAGGCAAAATGACAGCTGCAAGCTATTAGTAGCATATCTAAAAATGAGAACAAATGATGAATTTACTCTAACCGAAACAGTGAGATGGTTTGGCAGGGAATCGAGACGATATATTTTTACTTGAGGATGATAGTTACAGTTTGCAATTAAATTATGTGAAAGTGAATGAATATTTATGTTTAAATACATTCAAACTATGAATCAGCAGCTGTGTTGGTTTCATAATCTATTTCCAAGATGAATAAATACAGAGATAAAAGATTTAATCCTTTTATAAAAGAGAGTTTTAGTTTAAAGGTTTTTTGTTTTGTTTTTTTTTAGTGTCATGACTGCACTTGCCTTTTTGTGCTTCTGGTGACATAAGTGTAACAGTGTGTGACTCTCTGTATCTGCCCAGCTACCTGTGGCGTGAGGAGAACGCAGAGCAGCAGGCTCTGGCAGCCAAACGAGAGGACCTGGAGAAAAAACAGCAGCTCCTCAGAGCAGCCACCGGCAAGGTCCGTGTCACTGTACATGACTGCGTAATTATTGACGTGCATAATGCAACTATAGGATCCCCAATGCTTCCACCTGGATACAAGTGAAAGTGTGACTGTGCATGTATGGGCACAGAAGTGGATGTTTTTTTTTCAGAGGATTGAAAAGTAATCCTTTTACTTGAACACACACACAGTACATGGATTTATCTTGCTCTTTCCCAGGATGTCACTTGTAAGCCACAGGTAGACCTGCCATTATAGTTCACACACGCACTTACATACAGAAGAGCTGTTAGCGAAGAAATGGGCAAGTGAAGATAAATCAAATCCCAAGTTTAAAAAAAAAAAAAAAGCCTCACTCTCTAAACGAGCCCACCTTAATACTGCGACCGACTCACTTTGTGACTCAGCCGGTTGTCAGAATAGATATATCAAATGGAATCATTCATCTGCTTCGCTACTGGCACCTTATGATAGCTAGCTAAATTTACATATGACTCACTCCTTTCTGCCTCATCCAGTCATTTCTTCGGGGCATATACATCAATCAAATATCACTTCTGAATAATGTCTGCCCAGATGAAAGGAGGCTGTGTGTAGCTTCATGGACAAATGTCCTACATTTATTTTTCTTACATTAGTCCCAGCTGACTCATCCGTCTCCAGCCTTTGATGGGCTGTATCTATCCCACATTTTTATATTCGCAGTGTATATTTCAGTGTAGGATTGCGCAATGGAGTTAATACAGACCTTTTTTTTTCTCATGGCTCATACAATATGAGTTTATTTTTCTGTGCTTTTTTGTGTGTGTTATTTTGCATACTGAGAATCTTTGTCATAGTTAGAATTTGGTGCAGTTAGGATTCAGTGTGGGCGCTTTTCTGCAACTTTAATGCCCTTTGTCTAAGATTAATTTCATAACAGAATTTTTAGGAGTAACTGTGGGGCAGAGGGCCATTGTGTTGCTCCAGGATTTGATCTTTGCATTTTGTGGTTGATTGTATGAATGTGGATGTAAAGAGTGAGTTTACCACTCCAGATTAGGGAGGAGTTCAAGCATCTCATGATCTTGTTTAAAGGTGGAGGTAAAGTCAGAGATTGATGGATATGATGATCTGTCATGCTGAAGAAGGAGCTGACCAGTCAGTCCGACTTCACTTTAATCTGTTTTATATTACATTAATCATTATTCCTTTTGTGTCACTTATGTTCCTCTAGGCCATCTTGAACGGTATTGACAGCATCAACAAAGTCCTTGAGCATTTCCGTCGGAAGGGCATCAACCAGCATGTCATCAATGGTTATCATGGCATTGTCATGAATAACTTTGAATGTGAGCCTGCTTTTTACACCTGCGTGGAGGTTACAGCTGGGACCAGGTGTGGTTTGCTTTTGTATTTTCATTCAAATGTCTGTGTAGGCTGAAATGAAAACAACACTTTCCGGCTCCAAGTCCTTTTATTATGCAAGATTATACAAATGTGCCCGGTGGGTAAAAGGAGCAGGTTGCTGCGTGGGAAGCCAGCAGCCCAGTCAGTTTAAAACATTTAGTCTGAAGTTACTCCCCCGTTTGTAGTATCAGTATACCATCTGCCTTGGGCTTTTTTATTATTGCTTTATTCTTCCTCTTTAGAACCTGTTAAAAATTTTAAATATCAAATGGGAGTTTTCATGTTTACTCACAGAGCAGGTGTTGTAGATTTTACAAACAATTTATGATTTATAGTAAAAAATGACTTTTGGTGGGTTTTTTTGTCTTTGTTTGTTTCTTTGTTTTTTTAAGGCTGTTTTACCACATTGTGGAGACTGATGAAGTGAGCACTAAAATACTCATGGAGTTCAACAAAATGAACTTGCCTGGAGAAGTCACATTCCTACCTCTGAGCAAGCTGGACGTCAGAGACACCGCCTACCCAGAAACCAACGTAAGTACCTGACATGAATGGGCTCTTTGCATGTATTAAATTTTGAATGTACTAGCAAATAGTGGTATACAGTAATTGACAGTGGCAGTTAACATAAAAACTGCATTCAGCTATATTTTTATTTATTTATTTTTTTCATTTCCCTTTGTTCAGTCCTCTTCATTCCATTTTTCTCATCAAGATTTCTCCTGACAAATTAGTTTCATTAATACCAATGATTTTTTGTTTGTTTGTTTCATTTTTCTCCATCAGGATGCCATCCCGATGATCAGCAAGCTCCGCTACAGTTCCAACTTTGACAAAGCCTTCAAGCACGTGTTTGGGAAGACCCTCATTTGTCGTAGCATGGAGGTTTCCACCCAGTTGGCAAGAGCTTTCACCATGGACTGTATTACTCTGGAGGGTAAGCTTTGCTGTGAAATGCAGTACAGCTTCAACAATTCTCAGTGCAAAATACTCCAATTGAGAACATTCATATCATTGTTTTGTTACTTCCTAGGTGACCAAGTCAGCCACCGTGGAGCTCTGACAGGAGGATACTATGATACCAGAAAGTCTCGCCTGGAGCTTCAGAAAGACATGAGGAAGGCTGAGGAGGAGCTGGGTGAGCTGGAGGCCAAACTCAATGAAAACCTGCGCAGGAACATTGAACATATCCTTTCTATTAAAACGTGTGGCGAGTTTGTTTATCATGTTGATGTTAGAGCGCTGTCCGTTCAGAGTATGAGCAAACTTGAAAGCTTCACTGAAGAATCGCGTCATTAGTGAGGCAGAGTTTTGGCCCCCTGCTTAGACTTACTGACAATAGAAAAATGGCCTGAGTTTGACTGGAATACCGAGGAAAAGGGGAGTATGTGATTCAAGACTGAATTTGAAAATGACTAAACAGACATCTCCCACTTTGAAATGTTATGAAATTCATAAACACTGGAGACAGACAGTTAATAATCGGTATCTGTTAGATCCAAGTAGATATTCTTTCCTTTTCAGGATAGAGATTGTGTTTGCCTGAAAGGTTTAAATCATGATGTACAGTTAAAACTAGCCTTTCTAAAATTGTTTTCATATTGACTTTTAAAGTAAACATTGCTTTGTGTTGACAACAGAAAACCTTGCACCCTCTTAGGACTGAAATTTTAATTTAAATTCGTTGCCACGTTCTGCTGTGTGCTTGGAGCTGTTTTCTGTATAAAAACTATGTTATAGAAGGTTACACCACCCTCATTCAATTATGCAGTGATGTCACATGGCTGAACCTTTGTTTTAATTGTGTATTAAATCAGTCTGGGTTGTGTAGCTACCTTAAGGCCAGTTGGAGCTTGGCTGGGACGCAGTGGCAGGGTTTAATCGGGTCAAGAAGGATTAGTGTGTGTTGGGTCATGTCAGCCAGAGCCATGACTCACTGCTGGACAGCTCATGAAGGCCAAACAAGTAGATCACAGAGGATTTGTGTTTGCATGTGCGATGTATTTATGAATATGGTCACTTCCGGCCCAGTATGATTAAATGTCTGTTTGCACACCTGTGTGATGGTGTGTAGCTTCTCACTCACTCACAGCTAGTAAAGCTTATGCTGCTTGGTGTGTGCGCACCTGGTGATTACGTATATGTGCGAGTCAGTAGGCGAAATGGGCATCTGTGCCGATGACATGGTGCTTCACTTCACTCCCCAGAGGAGTGAGTCAGAGAATGAATTAATTATTTAAGACACCTTGTTTTTCACTCTCCAACTCTGCCCTGTCAATAAGCATGAGCTCCCAGCCATTCCTTCCTTCCTTCCTTCTTTTAGTTGCCGTCTTCACTGTTCCATTACATTGCAGTGAAACTTCATACAGTTTTTATGTGAAACAGAAATTTTAAATGTACCTGATTTTATGTGGTTGTGCTAATTTATCGTGTTTTTCTATGGAAAAAAAACTGTTTGCAGCCTGATATTATCTGTTCACATTTGTCAGATTATCTTTGAACATCTGTTTTCTCAGTCTTCTCTGGTCATCAGGCAGGAAAATCCACTTTCCTTCAGTCCTTTTTATATCACTACATTGATTGGTCTTGGTGTTCATTGAGTCCTGGTAAACCTCAGAGGCCCACAGGAGTTTTGCAGTCCTTTGAAGATCAATAAGCCTGTCTGTTAAATTAACTTAATGATGAGCATGTGCAGCCCTTCTTAATCCTCTACTTTGATTTTAGAGACACCTCCTTCCCTAAAAGCCCAATCACATTATTGGAGCACTAAATAGCCTACAGCATGCCCCATGACTTGACTCATTATCTGATCAGTGTCTTTTGTGTGTCTGTCAGTACGATTACAGAAAATTTAACCAGGCTGAATTTCTTGAAACTTTGGGAAGAGGTGGTGTATGTGCAAAAGAAGAACCCTTTACATGCTTTAATTTTAGATCCAAGTCACTTAAAATAGCTGAATGTGACTTTGGCCTTGGCAGAAGATCAACTCTCTGAGTGCCCTTCCAGTTTGCTGCTTCAGCTTCAACAAAACTGTCTCTGTTGTTTAGGGATTCTGTGCCAAAGTGCTTAATTGAAGCTGAATCATTTCTTATCCTTTTTATTTAACCGTCTCAAGTTTGGTTGACTAACAAAAATATCCAGGCTGCATATCCAGGTTTCTTGCAGTCCCAGCACTTAACTTGCTTGGTGAAACGGTAGTAACGATTTAACAATGCATCGCATCAGGGACCTTATAATAGGCACTGCAATATTACGTAACTGTGATTAGCTCGAGAGTGGCTATTAAGAAAAACTGAAAATGCTCGTCTGTAGTAAAAATTGGCATATACTTCCTTAACTGCCACCTCCACGTATCAACAATGAGATTGACCAACTGATGAATCAGATGCAGCAGATCGAGACACAGCAGAGGAAGTTTAAGGCATCCAGAGACAGTATTCTGTCAGAAATGAAGATGCTGAAGGAGAAGAGGCAGCAGTCAGAGAAGACTTTCATGCCCAAGGTAATATTACCTCATTGTTGCAGTGTATTGTAACCTGTATAAAAACCCTGTGTTCAAGATCACTATGACCAGATTTTGTTATTGATGTTTGACTTGGTCTGTGCCTCAGGTTCAGCCTGTCCCCATTATTGTGTCTTAATGTTGCCCACTGCTGTCTAACGTTCCTTCGTTCTTTCTCTCTCTCTGTCCAGCAACGCAGCCTTCAGAGTTTGGAGGCCAGCCTCCATGCCATGGAGTCCACCAGAGAGTCGCTGAAGGCGGAGCTCGGTACAGATTTGCTGTCTCAGCTCAGCCTGGAAGATCAGAGGCGTGTCGACGACCTCAACGATGAGATTCGTCAGTTGCAGCAGGTCAGTGGACACAGACTGTGTCTGTTGCAGCATTTGTGACAGTGTTTCTGCACTGTAAAATAACTGACACGCACACATGAATTTTCATTTGTGTAATTGTGCTACATCTATTTACAGCAGTTGATTGCTCAAAACTTTATTGTGCAATTTATTCAGGTTTTTCAGGGGTTTTTCAAAAAAACTTATGTATCAATTATGAGACATTTAAGAAAAATGTTCCAGTGAAATAATAACTGTCTTTTAGAAATGTGTTGAATCTGAAATTGTGGCAGTATCTGTGCGTGCTTACATGGAGTTCAGAGAACATGCCGGTTACCTACATTTGTTTCTCAGTGTCCTTTCGCTTTCTGCCTCCTCCTGGTGTATTCAAATGCTCTGACTGAGGTGAGAGAAGCAGGCAGCAGCTGTGTGTGGGATGTTCCTGTGATACAGCATTGCCCTGTCTTTCTCTTTCACGGCCAGCTACTCTCGGCTTTTCCCTCATTGAACTTTCAGCCATTCCTGTCATCGTTGTGCAACAACTCCGCCCCCACAACATGAAGCCTTTCATATATGGTTCTGTTATGTTTGCTGTTGTCAGATTATATTACCTGCAACAGAACTCCTGGTTTAGTTTTCATGGGTTTTGGTTAATATGATATTTGCTTCGACATAAGTGGGCAAAGACTTGTTCCTTTACATAACATTCACTGATAACTGTCGCTGAGGCAGATAAGTGTATACACAATTTTTATTTATTTATTTTTAGCAGATTTTATTCTGTGTAGACTGAACAGTTAAAGTTGCTCTCATCTTAGGATTGTCAGGATGTTTATAAAGGCAGAAACGGCAACATTGGCTTTTAGATAAATGACTATCACTCCTCACACATCCGTCACTCTTGACAGCACCATTTCATGCAAGAGATTTCTTTTATGTGATAAACAAAGCAAGAAAAACCCATTCAAATATCAAATCACTGGTATTTCAACACATAGTGAAAATATCACATAAGTAACTTTTGTGCTTTTGTGATGTCTTTATTCACTTGCAGGATAACAGACAGTTGCTGAATGAGAGAATCAAGCTTGAGGGCATCATGACCAGAGTGGAAACATATCTCAATGAGAACTTGAGGAAACGTCTTGACCAAGTGGAGCAGGTACATCATCCCTTTAAGCACTTTGCTTGTAGAATATGTTTGTCACATGATCTATATGTGTATGTTTGTTGAATTATTTCCCTTTTCATATTAACAAAGTCATATTATTTTAAGTTCTGATTCTTTGTTTTCTGCTGTTAAATTGTGGTATGTTACAAATTAATTCTTGGATATAGCTGATTTAATTATAAATAATGTTTTCATTTTCTAGGTAGAGGGGTGTTTGAATGACCCTCCCTTTTTATTTATTCTACTATTTTGATGTTCCCTCACTTTGTATTTCACAGGAGCTAAACGAGCTGCGTGAGACGGAGGGAGGCACGGTGCTCACGGCCACAACCTCTGAGCTGGACGGCATCAACAAACGTGTTAAAGAGACTTTAGCTCGATCAGAAGGTATGTGGTTTTTAATTTATTGATATGTTTGTCAGTACTACTGTTCATATGTTGGGGTAAACTAGTCACTGCTGTGGTTGTGGCTACATTTATGACACATATACAGAAGCTCTTGTATTATTTTACTAACAGGACAGTTTATACCTACTTAAAAGTGGTTTAAGTTAGATTAGGTTTCACTTTAGACATAATCACTTACAGGGGATCCTGTTGATGTATTTTTAATGGTTGCTCCTCTATTGTAATTGTTTGCTTTCATTAAATGTAAGTCTGTCTTACAGTTGTCCAGAAGTTAAAGTTGAATTTATGAAGAAAATGCCTGAAAGCAAGTGTTTTGGAGCCAGTATTTACAGTGTTTAAATTCACTGTACTCTGGACTGCAGCATAAGTTTTGATTTTATTATGATCACAAAGAAAATTATTTTTAAAGAGTTTTTAGTATTTAAAGTAAATTACTGATTTTTGTCATTAAAGACCAGGAAAAAAATAATGAAAATGTTATTTTTCAGGGCAGGAAGGGTTTTTGAAAATGAAATAAACCCAAAAAGCATGGACACTTGCTTCAAAAATACACATGAAATAATGTGACTCAGTTCAAACCTTTTTTACAGTAATTATGTAGGACACAATATTCAGTTCTTTTTTTCTTAAACATCATTGAGCTAATAGAAAGGGTGGATCAAGTATCTGGATCTTCTGCTGTCACAAAGGCTTTGCCCTTAAAGCATAGCTGACAGCTGTAAATAATACTTTAACAACTAGGTTCACTGTCTGCAGGCTGCAGCTGGACTTTAAATTATACCTTAACTTTTGACGTTGACTTTTAAGTCTTATTTTTTCATCTATAGATGGGCTATAGGTAAATATCTGTATCTCTGTGTAATCTGTATCTATGTAGTGCTCATTACTGCACATTTCTGGGTAAAAAGAAAGCAAAAAAAAATCAAATCGTTCCAGTCTTCTATCTCTTATGCTTAGTTAATTTATTACCTGTCTGGCTCAATTTATTGTTGTCATTTGAGTGTAAATTGAGAAACTGTAGGATACCTTCATTGAGTTGGTACTGCCAGCAGATGGTGAGAATGGCTGTGATGCCTTCGAATCACAATTTGGATAATATGTTCTTGCACAGACTGCCTGGTCGCACATTTGTATAAATGTTCTATAAATGTGGTGCAGTGACTCAGAGGTGATAAAATGCAGTTGTCAAAAAGCACTTGTTTCTGAATACCCTTAATTTGCATGGATTCATATTTCATCATTGGCACTAACTAATTAAAGGCATTCACAGCATCATCCTTTTCTTATGTAGGCGCTATATTCAGTCATCCACTCTTGACTATTGTCAGTTTTACCTTTGTTCCAAAAAAGAAAGAAGAAAAATCTTAATTTCTTCTTTCTTTAAATGAAAGAAAGAGACATTGTCTCCCTTTTTGTAGGTTGTTGAGAAAAGGCTCTAAAGACAAATGATGTAATAGCTTCTGCTGAACAAAGATGACACAAAGTCTTACGAGCCATCTTGAAACTAAGGATATACGAGAGTGGTCGACAAAATAATTAAAAGTTGCAGGCCTTCACTAGATGGCACTTAAAATAGTCAGTTTAAGTAATTATTCGTATTTTAGTGAGTTACAACATCTCAAAGATCTTTCCAGCCGTGATCTTTGCAGCACCTTTCTCTCTCTGGTCTGTGACAAGTTTTAAATAAGTTGGAAATCAAAGGAGGTGGCAGTGCTACAAACTTGGTGCGTTCTCCTTTGATCAAGGAAAGAAAAGTCTAGGCTTTCAGTGTGTAACCACATTCAGCAAAGGTGTGTGGATGTGGATGGGTTTTACACTGCCAGTACACTGGCTAGCATTGGCTACTGTTGGCAAACTCATCTGAAAGTGCATGCATGTTGTGCCGCACATGTCAGCAGCATTTAGAATATGTTACATCATCAAAGAAAGTAACCACTCAAATCTTAATTCAATAAAAGGCTCAAACAGTCCACCCAAAATAAGTTGGTAAAAAACTTCCCCTTACCATCTTTGTTTTTTTGTTTGTTTGTTTGTTTGTTTTTCCGGACGAAGCAAATTGCAGTAACTATTAAAGAAAGTCATTATTTTTTTAAGTCAGGAATTCGGCAGTATACTATGTATAGATAAAAATCGAACCCATATCACCTCCTCAAATGTCTTTCCCAGATCTGGATTCTCTGATTGACAAGACTGAGGCAGAGATCAAGGAGCACATAAAGAGCATGGAGCGATGGAAGAACATAGAGAAGGAGCAGAATGACGCCATCAACCATGACACAAAGGAGCTGGAGAAAATGACCAACAGACAGGGCATGCTGCTCAAGAAGAAAGAGGAGTGCATGAAGAAAATCAGAGAGCTCGGCTCGCTGCCTCAGGAGGCGTTTGAGAAATACCAGACCCTCACACTCAAACAGGTACACCTTGCCACCCACACACACACACACGCTCACACACAGTGCCTAATGATGTTATATGCTCGCCGCTGGCTTTAAAATTTCTTTTCTTTTCTTTTTTTATCAGCCAGCCCTAGCACTTTTCAGACATGTAGTGTACAGTGTTATTTTTCAGTGGGAGTTTATTAAAATATGACATTATTAAATTAAATTAAATATTTATTAAAATATGACATTTATTATTTTCAGAGGGGAAATTGTTCTGCCTTCAATGGAAACAAAAATGAAAACAAAAGCACTGGGGGCTTTTGTTTTCACTGGGAGCTGGGAGTCATGCTCAGTCACTTTAAACTAACAAGTTTCAGTGGGAAAGTGTCAAAAACAGAATAAAATGCATTTTAAACATAGAATAAGGCACAGTTTATTGAAAAACAAGATACACAAAAAGAAAAGCAGTTTTAGTATGAATAGAAATACACATATGTACAACATCCCGCATGTGAGTTGAAGTGCAAATAGGCAGAAACTGACACAGTGATAATGATGTCTATGCTATGAGCAGATGAGGTAAGTGATAATAGAGAGAGAAAAATCAGAGTTTATAATAATCCATCTATCCTGGAAAGAACAGATGGAGTGATGTAAAAGAGCACTGTTGTGCGTGTGTTAAAGTGTTTGTAAGAGTCCCACCTCCCATACACAATGGAGAGGAGTTATAGAGTCACAGTGAGACAAATATCTTCTGTAGCACTCAGACCTGCACCTCAGGGCAATGAGGCTTTTACTGTATTTGCTGTGGTGACCAGTCAGGGAAGCATGCACAGGGTAGAATGGATTTTCCATGATGCTGAAGACTTTCTTCAGCATCCTGCTCTCAGACACATACAGAGTATTAAGTTCTACTCCTAGAACTGGCCCAGCTTTCCTGATCAGCTTGTTGGACCTTCTTAAAGACAACTTCAGCGTTCCTGGACCAGTCACAATTCACTGTCTATGTGTATGTGTTGCCCTCAGCCACCTCATAATCTAACTCCTTGGTGCTGCCAGGAGAAAAGGAGGAACCTGTTTCCTAAAGGCTAAAATCAATGGCTTAGTATTAGTGATGGCAAGCTGTAGATTAGCTCACACCATCTATAAAACTGTCCACCACTCTGCTGTACTTCTGTACATCAGTGATGCAGTGATCTGTACCCGAGGTCTGAATATTACATAAGGTGAAGAAAAGGGGCGATAAAATAATCCCCTGTGGTGTTACTGTGCTGCTCAGTCTGTTCATTCAGCAGCTTTTCTGTTGGACATACTGTGGTTAATCCTGGAGGAAGTTGCTAATCCAAGTTATGAGGGGAGCATGTGCCTGTTGTATTTTATTTTTTTTAAATACTTTTTCCAAATTTATAGTACATACAAACAAAAATAAGAGAAAAGAACGCAAAAGAAACAAACTAAACAGAATGAAACGCACATAATCTGTGGGGTAAAGAAAGAACAAATTATACACATATGTAAACATATCTGTCGCGACCCGAACTGGGACGACCCAAAATCCAGATACTCCTCCGATAAACTAAATTACGCCACCACAAAATCCAGAGAGTCAGTAGGACACCCCCAAACTCCCATGCCCATTACAAAACCCTATAACCAATTCCAGTCGAAACCCTGTCAATCCTCGGAGAGGGGCTCCTACCAGCCGGGGTATACCCAAAGTAACGTCCTATTGATCCCGTCCCAAAACACCATCCACCCCGCCCCTTACACCCACACAAAGACAGCAAAGAGCATAATTCTCACAGTGTTTGCAGTTATTTCAAAGAGGGAGTGTGCTGGATGCAGGAGGCAGTTGATGGCATCTTCCACGTGTTGTTTACAGTGACTATATATGAATAGATAAGACTGGTAAAGATATCTGAAAATGAAAGCAAAATCCAATAATTATTAATTTTAATTTAATTGGTTTCACTTAAGAAGGAAATATGTACAATATTAACTGTTAGCTTAGTTAGCTTTAGTTAGCTTAAAGCTAATATGAATCGGCAGTCTCTTGGCAAATTACATGCATAGGATCAGAAAGAGTAAATCACAAAACATCCACACACCCACTGTGGATCACTCGAGTCATTGGACACACTGACATATTATTCATTACTTTATGAAGTTGAATTGGTGATTGTACAAAATACATTCAAATCATTACTTTAGCACACATTTAACAGACACAGAACAACGCTAGCTTGGAATCACATTACTGTCTGCCTGATTATTTTAGGTCCAAAATGTATTCCCACCAATGTTCATTAGCTTGTAACCTTTGTTCTGGGGTTCAGCTGAGTAGAGAGCCTTGCTCCTGAAAAGCCTCTGGCATCAGTGAGAGTAAACTGATGACCTGAAAGACAGTATCCTGCAAAGCAGCGCGATCTTACAGGAACAGTTTTATTTCACATGTTAGCCATTACAGCAGCAACATTAAAAATCATGAAATAGCTGTGTTGAGGTCAGTCTTTATGTGCATTTTGTCCCCCAAATCCATTTAGAAATATCTGCACATACACATGCAGCCAGAGCCAGGTCTCTTCAGGAATAAAGCCCAAGGCCATCACATCCCACCCACTCACTAGTGACTCACTAGACACTGGGGGTAAAGACTGTGTGTTGAGTGGACTTGGCTGCTTCTTTCATAAGTGTCTGAGTGCGCACACTATGTGTGTGTCTATGCGTGTGTGCTTGTGTAAGCCCCCCTCCTCAACAATGCCGAAAATAGGCTCGCTTGCTCATAAACACTCCATATAGTTAATCTTTCTCCACAGGACACTGCTTGGGGGCATGATGGTGCCATTGATTGCAGAAGTGGATGAGAGAGCCATGTAATAATGGCACTTGCTCATGCTTCCTTGGTCATTAGTGATTCAAAGGGATGAATTTAGAGTTTGAGAGTTTGGAGAGACAGTGAGACACTTTCAGGCTAGACTAAACTAGATCTTAATTGATCAGGCCATGTCCTCTTTCAGATATGAATAAAAGGTGCAAAACATGTCCATGAAATGCATAATGAATGTATGTTTAGTTAAACATGTGATTCATTTTCTACTCATTTTCTAGCATTACAAAACCTGTCCTTGAGTGGAAAAATAATCTGAAAATATAAAAGTACTGAGCAACATTTCCTGAAAGTGTAGTTGTAACATCAAAGCAAAATTGTCAAATTAGTGAGTTCAGGTTTTAAAAACATAAAAATTAAAACAAGCAGGTACCGGTATGCATTTTTATTTTAATTTTTTATTTTACATTAGTGGCTTTCTGTGTGCATCACTTAATATACTGTTATTTCACAAAAAGTATTGTTTTCTGAAAGATGGATGGATGAATGCACAAGCAATCTAAATTATAACTTCGAAAGCGAGCATGTTTTGAGGAGTAATTTAAAATGATACTGATTTAAAGCAGATCTGATCTTGCCTGGAACTAATGATGTATTGTATTCCTCTCCTCCAACAGTTGTTCAGAAAACTGGAGCAGTGCAACACTGAGCTGAAGAAGTACAGCCATGTCAACAAAAAGGCTCTAGACCAGTTTGTCAACTTCTCCGAGCAGAAGGAAAAGCTAATCAAGCGTCAGGATGAGCTGGACCGTGGCTACAAATCCATCATGGAGCTCATGAATGTCTTGGAGCTGCGCAAGTACGAGGCTATCCAGCTCACCTTCAAACAGGTACATTGCAGCTCAGACTCTGATCAAAATCTTCAGTGATACAAGTCCATGGTTTTTTACCTTAGACCTGTATGTAAATCACCCACATTTTTGGGGGGAAGCAGAAGTGATCATATTTGGACAAGCAGTGCTAACTTACCAGCCAAAGCTAGCACACTTCATACGTAAATCGCAGGATTGTAAATTCCTGGTAAGACACTAATACCACACTATAATTTCACCCACCCAAAACTGGAGCAAATATTTCTTGGGTAGACTTTTAGTACACCCAGTTACACAAAAGCTACATTAAAAATGCTTCAGAAGCGACAAACATGGTTGAGTGGTCCAGTGTGGTGACCTCACTTCGACTGAGGTGAAACCTAGAAGATGGCAAGAGGTTTATCCCTGAAGAAGTTCAACACTAATTTAAAGCATTTTCTCAGAATGTGAAAAATTCATGAAAATGTGACTAAAATTCACTTTCTATCTCTTCTTACCTTCTGCTCCTCTCAGGTGTCGAAGAACTTCAGTGAGGTTTTCCAGAAACTGGTGCCGGGTGGCAAAGCTACGCTGGTGATGAAGAAAGGTGATGCTGAAGGAAGCCAGTCTCAGGATGAAGGAGAGGGCGGTGCTGACAGCGAGAGGGGCTCTGGTTCACAGAGTAGCGTTCCCTCCGTGGACCAGTTCACTGGAGTCGGCATCAGGGTAGGAGTCTTTTTCAGTTGTTGTATCTGCTGTTAGTTGATGGGCTTTACTGATTACCATTTATAAATCAGCTTTTTTTTTTTTTTTAAATGAATGGAAGATAATCAAAATAATAAGAAGATGCTATAAATGAGCAAAATGTTTCAGCTCTTTAATTTTTCTCATTATATAAAGTTTTATCATTTCTGAGGTAGAATTGTGCTTCTTGAATACCCTCAATGTAATAAGTTTCCTTGAGTCTTTGTTTGGAAACATGCGAATGTGTATTTCTGGACTGTTATGATTTCTGGTCCTCCCACACAGAGAAAGAACCAAGGTGAGATTGGTCATGCAATGAGTAATGCGCAGTCCTCTTAGGGCTAAATTTATCTTTATCATTATCAGAGCTGTTGTAACATTGCAGAGGATTTGTTTAACTTCATGAATCAGAGACTCTTATAATAAAGTTCTTACAGTAAAGAAATTGATTTCTCTGTTTTTGTTTCAAGTAAAGTTTGATGGTCTAATTTGATGCACATGTCCTGCGTAGGTATCCTTCACCGGGAAGCAGGGCGAGATGAGAGAGATGCAGCAGCTGTCTGGAGGTCAGAAGTCTCTGGTGGCTTTGGCTCTGATATTTGCCATCCAGAAGTGTGACCCTGCTCCTTTCTACCTGTTTGATGAGATCGACCAGGCCCTGGACGCACAGCACAGAAAGGCTGTCTCAGGTAACAATGAGTTATGTGTCTACACAGATTAAATGAAATAAATCTATGGCTCAGTAGGGTTGATTAGTAAAAATACGTCTCATCATTGATCGCAGTCTCCTCTGTAGTAAGAGTAGGTAGAAGGTGGACGATAGCCTGGAGAGGTGGAGGTATGTCCTGGAGAGAAGACAAATGAAAGCTAGTAGAAGTAGGAGATGAGCATCAGGAGTGAAAGGGAAGGCTTATGAAACTGTAGTGAGACCTGGTGTGATGCATGGTTTGGAGAAAATATCACTGACCAAAAGAAAGTTAAAATGGCAGTTGCTGAAATATTGGAAACTTTATTCAAAGCAAACCTTCCTTCTTACTGCAGATATGATTGTTGAGCTGGCTGGCCACGCCCAGTTCATCACCACCACCTTCAGACCTGAGCTGCTCGAGTCTGCGGACAAGTTCTATGGGGTCAAATTCAGAAACAAGGTGAGGCCTCTTCCTTCGAGTCTCTGTATATCTACTGAGAGTCAGACTATGCTCCGGGATTAACAAGTTTTAAACGTACCTGAGCAAGTTTTCTCACAATCGTCGGTGATCGTTAACAGCGTGATGATGTTTCTGAGAATTCAAATGCATTTAGTAGGTGGTGATTTTATTTTATTTTTTTTATAACAATAGCAAGAAAAATAAGTCTTAAGAGAGGCTGCTCATTTGTTCTCACACAGCCCAACCTACTAAAGGCAGTGGGGAAAAAAACTATTTTCTTCACTTTAGCTTTAGGATTCAAGGGAGAAAATGCAGTGGTGGTGACAGTGGTGTAAACATAATTTTGCATTCTGTTCAAACTCCATTTGTCTTAAATCAATAGCATTCAAAGTTCATTTGTGTCTTTGTTCTCCGTCAGAAAAGTGATAGTAGTTTCTTTTGTGTCTGTCTCTTAAGAAAAACGATTACTGCTCAATCGGTGCAGCATTGATTAGTCATTAACCATCTCTATGTTTTTTAGGTGAGTCACATCGACGTGATCACAGCAGAGCAGGCCAAAGACTTTGTGGAGGATGACACCACCCATGGTTAAGAGTCTCCTGCTCTTTATCATCCTCTCGGCCCCCACCTCCAACCCCTCTTCCTCCATCTCTACAGCGCACTGCAAACCTCAAAGGCCTCCAAGACAGGGCCCAAATGCAGACATATCCCACTCAGTCCAAAAACCTTTTTATAGTCGTGTTAAACATAAACAACACAGGAAGTCTCAGCTTCTTGTGACGTCCTTGTGATTAAGATGTAATTTAATTCATGCCCAGAAACCCCAACTGACCATTACTCATATTTAGAGTTAAATCTTCAAAGGCTGATACGAAAAATCTGGAGGACAAAATGTTGATAATCTTTAAGCTGACGGACTTGATGTGAATCAGCCTCATTATAGATGACAGTGTAGTTATTTTACACTGGAAAAAAAAGGTTCTGAAGGGAGCACTTCATGTTTGTGTTACTGCGATGATTTATTTTAGCCGAATTTTGGTAATCTGTCATCCAATGATAAAAGCGCCAGAGATGCAACCCTTCAGGATCTTTCCTCTTGTGTACAGTTGAGTGTTTTGATATGACTTGGATGAATCTTTGGGGGCCTTAGGCTCATCTGGATGTGTTCATTCTTACTCTGGTTTCTGTAATGTATACTCTTTGTACTCATGAAATATTACTTCTGTCACAAAAGCCACTTGGCTTAAAATGTTCAAAGCTTGTGGTTCCCTTTTTATGCTTGTATTCTGTCAATTCTGTTCTTTGAGGTCATTTCAATATATGAAGTTTAATTCCAAAACAACAGATACCCATTTGGGAACCAACACATCCTCCTAACAAGAATGTTTGTGAAACCTGACCGTGTCCACTTGGGTTCAGTACTCGGTTAGTCGCTGTTTTCTAGAAAGCCAAGATGTTATTAATCTTAAATTTCCTTCATGGAGTCTTTGTTTGGGATTGAACTCCTCATATGTTGTACCTTGTTTCAAATCTTTCTTTTTTAATGTTTGTGTTCCTTTTTATGTAATAAGAAAACATAGAAAAATAATAAAAGGTGTAAAAAAAATAAAATAAAATAAACACGTCATCTCCGCTTCATGAGACTGCCACCACTAGGTGGTGCTCTTTAATTGACTTTTTTTTTTTTTTTTATAGCAAAGAAAGTCCATTGGTGGTAAAGTAACATATATTTATGATATATGTTACTTTTACATTTAATTTCTTCACATTTTCATCAGAACACAAGTGTGTGTACAGCCAAACTAATCAAATTATCTCAACAAAAATATTTTAGAGCAATTATGTTTGGTTTTACCGTGCTCAATATATTTATTAGTCCACCTGTGATTAAAACAAAGCAAAAATGTTTAGAAACATATTGAAAAATATACATGGATAATAATTAATGCAAATAATAATTTCATGTTTTATACCTAACTTTGAACCTGCACACAAATTAATCAAGTCTAATGTTCAACCATCAAAAACTTTCTGATCATAAATCCAAATAAATGACTAATTTGGCCACTTAATAAAAATAAATGTGCTTTAGTAGTATTAAAAATATGATTTTGTACCTGATGGATACCTTGAAGCTACAGCTGTGTCATAAACCTTACATTAGATCTTGGTCTAATAAATGTGATAAGCACTGTATACTGGCAATGTAAACTGATAGATTTTATCTTAAAACATCTTTGAAAAGCTACATTCATGAAAGAAGAGAGATGTATTTACAAAAAGAAAAGTCAGTGTATATTCTCACACCCGATTGTGTTCCGTCACAACACTTGTCAGTGTCTAATCCTTTAATTTCAACACCGAATTAATCTAACTTGAGAAGGAAACCTAATCCACGGCCGCTGTAGATTCAGACACAGGGCACAGTAGACATGTGGTCAGCAACTGTAGCAACAAGGTCGGTGTCTGGCACACATTACACAGCCCTTACACTTGTGTTATATTTTCTTTTTTAATAGCAATGATCCTGAATTACTTTGTGCCAGGGGAGCTCCCGCATGTCACCCACGCATGGCTGCCATTCCAGTGTAACATCACCTTGCTCTGGCAGCGCATTTAAAAGGTTGTGACCTCTTGAGATCAAGTCTTAGATCCCTCTTGTAATACTGCAGACCTCCAGAGCATCTCGGTCCACGGCGTTCGCCAGCACTCGCGTGGTATCTTACGTCAGAGTGCTTTCCCCTTTGAAAGTAGAGCACCAGGAGCTTTGTCCTCCACTTCATGACTCCACTTCTGTTGTTAGTCGTGATCTAAAACAGAAATATATTTCTGGCCTGAAGTTGGTGTGTGGGGGTGACTGCTAAGAGAAATCAAACAGGAATACATTTTGACTTTCTCCAGCCATGGGAGGTTTCCTATATTTAAGAGCCAGTGCCTCTAAATCTAATTCACACTCTTGGCATAAACAATTGAAAAATAACAACCATTTATCCCACCTCATACAGAACAGTTATTCCCTTTTAAATGCCCACAGCTGTAATAAAAACACCTGCTTATACCTCACCTCATTGTCAGCACAGCTCATCCGCCTGTCCCCTCTCACCCCGTGGATGCAGATGTGTCACATTAACAACTCTGCAAGCTCTCTGTCACCACGTCAGCTGACATACGTCAAAAAGCATCACACCTACCTACCCACACCGACGTTCTCATTCCACCAATAGAAAAGCACGATCTGCTCTCCTCTCACACAGGTGTAAACAGCAAAGACAGTAAGTAAAATTCAAATCCATCACATTCTCATTAAGCTTTACTTGGTTTATTTGCGGGATTCTCTAACCCCACTCCGGGTCAGGGACGAGACCCTGCCCCAAGTGGAGGAGTTTAAGTATCTCGGGGTCTTGTTCATGAGTGATGGGAGAAGGGAGCGGGAGATCGACAGACGGATTGGTGCAGCGGCTGCAGTGATGCGGAGCCTGGTGAAGAGAGAGCTGAGCGTAAAAGTAAAGCTCTCAATTTACCAGTCAGTCTACGCCCCTACCCTTACCTATGGTCACGAGCTGTGGGTAGTGACCAAAAGAACGAGATCGCGAATACAAGCGATGGAAATGGGTTTCCTCCGAAGGGTGGCCTCTCCCTCAGAGATAGGGTGAGAGGTTCGGCCATTCGGGAGGGGCTCAGAGTAGAGCCACTGCTCCTCCACATCGAAAGGAGCCAGTTGAGGTGGTTTGGGCATCTGACAAGGATGCCCCCTGGGCACCTCCTGGGCGAGGTTTTCCAGGCATGTCCAACCGGGAGGAGGCCCCGGGGCAGACCCAGGACACACTGGAGAGGTTATATCTCTTGGCTGGCCTGGGAACGCCTTGGTGTTCCCCCGGATAAGCTGGCGGAGGTGGCTGGGACAGGGAAGTCTGGGCTTCTCTGCTTGGGCTGCTGCCCCCGCGACCCGGCCCCGGATAAGCGGAAGCAAATGGATGGTTGGATTAATAAATGAGCCAGCATGAATAGCCAGATGCATGAATCTGCTGATGTCAACTTTATTCATATAAAATACTGACATGTTTATAAGCCAAAAACTTTGTGCAGCTTTGAATTTCATTTTTAATTAACAGATTAATCATCAGACCAGCACCACCTCTCGCCCGGCATCAAGCTTCTTCTCATAGTCAGACAATAAACACCATATCTTTTCAAGCCATCTGCTCACCCCTCTGCTCCCTGCTATCAAAATATGGAGTACAGTAATAGACAGATAATACCAGCTCCCATAATCAAGCTCCTTATCATAGAAAAGGCATAAAGCTGTCCGGGTATTTTTTTCAGTCAAGTTAATTTGTTGTGTAACAGGTGCTTATTAACTGCAGTGGAGAGAGGAGGAGGAGGAGGAGGGAACCATGTGAAAAGATTGGCTCTGTCCTTGCACTTCATGGTGGTCCATCTGCCATGCAGGCGCAACACACTGCTTATTCCTCCCGGCCGCTCCAAAGTCATCCGTCTGTTTTAAGCGTCTGTCAGCTGATCAGTCAGTCTGTCATCTGTCTATTTGTCTCACTGTTTTTCCCACCACAGACATGTGATTGTGGTCTGTGTTAAAGGTCCTACATAAACATGTAATTGATCCAAAGCCTGACCTGAAGCCCCTGGACGTTGTGGTGAGAGATGAATTGCAGAAGGGTTAGGGACTTTTGCTCTCTGAAGGAGAAAAGAAAACTAATTCATTAGATCCCAGTAAGCACAGTGAGCATATCCCGCTACAAATTGTAAAAATAAATCTGGCTTTGTGTACATTCACAAAATCCTAAGTTATGGAAGTCCTGGACCAACATTTGTAATGCGGTAACTCTGCAAATGGATTTTTTGGATGGATCTTGGGATAAAGTCCAGATAATATAGCTACCAGCTACAACACCTCATTTGGCATATTGAGTTAATTAAATATGTCTGAGTAAGTTTACAAGTTTAGAATAAATGAAACACAAATACTAGTGAAATCTCCTACATACCTTTCTAATATATGTATGTATTAGATAGGTATGTAAACATGCTAATTCTAAGGAGCTACTATGTAAACCCAAATTTCCCAATTTTCCTAATGTTGTAAATGCAGCCACATCCAACTTTTTTAAAATATTTAATTTCATAAATTTACTAAATTTACTGCTTCTTCTTTTTTTCCAAAACATTTAAAAAAATGTTTTTATTTTATTACTATTTTTTTATGTTAGCTAATGATTTGAAATGGGTAGCTGACTTCCTTGATCTTAACCACGGGTAACTTGTGCTGATTTTTGTTCTGCAACAATCAACTTGAACAGCTACTCAGCAAGCAGGGACGGATCTGATGGACTTTCACACAGGTGTGCGCATGCGCCTCTACCTGTTTCTCTGCAAACGAGAAGGTAAGGAGAAAAAGAGCTTATGTTCAGGCCCATTATACATATAGTCGTTTGAACAACTAACCTAACACTGTATCAGGCTTTAGTTTCATGCCTGTAACTTTGCGCATGTGTGCTACATGACTAATTAGCTACATGGCTAATGGCTAATGTATTGTTACAGGTGCAGCCACACCTCGAAAACCCCAAAGGTTTGTATTTATACTCTGGATAACTTTGCTTTTGAACATTTTGGCCAAGATTGTAATTAGACTGGCACTTGTTATATAGAGTCACAGGTTTGCCGTATAGGGTGGGGAGGGGGGTTAACAGGGTAGCCTGGGATCTGCCCCTTCTGTTAACTGAAGCGAATTAACAAAGCACACTGTTGGCAAAATGTGAAATCCTAAACGCGGGCTAATATATCGCTCACTAAGCAATAACAAAAAAAGAGAGATGGTTTTGTTAGTGACAAGGCAGCTTTAGATTTTTTTAAGTCATCAGACAACAGCTGCCACTCACTCAAAGGAAGGGATGTTGAGCCAGCAAAGGAATTTAAATAGTGACTGCTGCTACATGTCCAGCGGTGCCTCGAGTGGGTTGCACAAGGAAAATAACTGCATAATAGTATTAATTTTAAAAAGTCAAATCTGTTTAAGTACAAGTATATTCTAAACATTCAATGAATTATTAGATGATTACATTTATCAGTTTTCAATATAATTTAATCATTTTCATCCAATTAAAATGAACATTGATACATTATTTGTAATTCCAAAGCCAGTGTGAGACATTGACCATCTGCCTAATCAGTAACTCTTCCACCTGCTGCCTTCATCAATAAGACAGCTGTAGTACTGACGTAACACTCTGGTTCAGATGAATTTAACAGTCTTCACAGCCTGCAACATAATGCATCCTGATGCAAAATATGGTTTAAAAAAAACAAAACAAAACAAAACAAAGCTTCTAGGAAACTAAAATCTTTGGCTTTTGAAGGGATTATGGTTGCAGAGCTGAAACTTAAAGAAAGTGCAGATCATAAGCTTGTGTTGATTAAGAAAAACTTGTACTGTTGGAGGAGGCAGGTGGTTCAGTGTGCAGTGCTATGTGGAGGAACACCTGTTAAATATTGTCTAATCAGTCTCCCCTATTTATGTAGTAGCACAGTGGGACCAGAGAGGAGAAGTGGTGAGTGAGGCTGGTGAGAGGACCGTGGGCAGAGCACTGTGAAAAATGCATA